CAGGAAACTTGATTTAAAATTAATGATTTTTCTTGGTGATTGAAATCATGATTTAAATCAATCAAACCTGTTCAAGGCTGGTTTACAACAGACAGCTAGGTCCACCCAGCTATGCCACTTAGGGGGACACAAATCTCTACCAATGGTAACCCAGTTAAGCTGACCTAACCCACAGTGTAGACAGCGTGGGGCTGACAGAAGAACCTCTCCCATAGCCATAGTGTCTACCCTGAAGTGCTGCAACTGTGCCGCCGTCACTTTTTAAATGTAGACTCAGCCTTTGAGCACTTAGCACAGCTCCACGCTGCCTGCCTCTCTCTCCCTATCGCCAAGATCAAATACCACGAGGTAAGGAGAGGCGGGTTTATCATGTCAAATCCCAGTAGTTTTATTCTTCATCTTCTGGATGAAGAGAAAGCTCCACTGAGATGCTAAACAGATTCAGAGGAGACCTCTGCTCCTAAGAGTGCTGTATCTCTTCCCTAGACAGGGCAAGTGAATCCGCATGTGAAGCAGCTGTCTAGTAAAACCCAAAGCCTCCACTCGGATGTAAAAACAAGCTCATTTAGCAGCAAAAAATCCTATTCATTTGCAAATCCATTGCTTAGTGCCAGAGGAGCAAGAAGGCAGAGAGGCTCAGGGAAATGAACATCAGCTCCAAGCTTGCTTGAGGCTTCTGACCCTCTCCCCCATTACATACAATTAGGAAATGTTATTTTACTCTCAGCGTAACAAAGAGGCTTCCTACAAGACCACCCTTGCACATGTCTAGGAAGAGCATCCCTAGAAAGGGCGAGAACAATTGCTCTCACCTGGGGCAATGCACAGTGTTCCCGTTTTGCACCTCAGTAGGGTGTGTGGAATGGAGAAAGGTTTAAATCAGAGGAAGACAAAGGGTGCTTAGAGCAGGACTACTCAACTCCAAGGGCCACAACGATACCCACAGCGCATGCCGAAGGCCGCAACTTAAGTGTGGTTGCATGTACATGCAAATATATATGCAAATATATGCAAATAGCTTCTTTCACACTGGCAGGCATGAATACAGAGATTAAGGCTGGACTATACAACACACAGGCCCCATTTAAGTCCATTCTGCTGATATTAATAAAACACAATATTTACCCAATTTCCACCCATATGACAGCACTTTGAATGAGCAATGACAGTCTAGGAATTTAACTATGAAAATGTGTATCAACAGAAGACCATTCTATTGACTAGCTTTTTGTTTTGGCTTCACAACAGTCCAGGAATGTAAGTACTAAAACACAGATCCACCCAAACCGCACAGGAAACCCGAACTGCACCGTGGACCACAAACAAAGGGCTGCAGGCCACATGTGGGCCACGTGTTGAATAGCCCTGGCTTAGAGGGTCGTTCTCAGTGAAGTGGGAAGATTATGTGGAGCACATGGTGTTACTGCTGCAACCTGACAAACCCTCTGTGATGGACCGGGCCAGGTCTGGGTACAGCTGAGGGCGTCCACTCAGGGCAAATTGCTCAAAACCAGGGCTCCTTACAGCCCTTGACTGGAGACCCTTCCCAAAGAGGCCACAAACCAGTCACACCGAGCGCTTCAGTTGCCAACCCAGCCAGCAGGAAGCCGCCTCATGAGCAAAACCCCTCAGCCACCCCAGCTCTCTCTGTGCCCCAATCAGCCCCGGGCCTAGCACACAGGTGAGGGGTTATAGAAGCCAATCCCACCAACTCCGAATAGATCCTCCCGGTCCCAAAGAACCAACCACAGTTCCCCAGTCAATTTACACTTTAGATCTTGCCCATAAGAGCACGCTGAGCCAGTCCTTTAGAATCTAAAATCTAAAGGTTTATTAACAAAAGACAGAAAAGGTTGAGAGTGAGGTTGTTAAGGAGAATACATGACATACATCAACCACCAAGTTCTTGATGCAGGCTCTTAGCAGAGATGTTACAAGCTGCTAGCTTAAAAGTCTCTGGTGCACATCCTATGTCAGGGTAGGTCAGCATTCCTTCCCGGCTCGCTGTCCCTCGCAAGGCTGCATCTGGGATCAGTAGCAAGACTGGAGACAAAATGGAGACCGCCTCACGACACATATATCTCCGGTGTCTCCCAAGCCGGAGCTGGTCACATGATGGCATGATTCACAGGCTAGCAGCCATGAGATACAGGCTGGTTTGCAGGTTTCCAGACACATTCCTCAGGTGTGTACAGGCCACCCTGAGAGAGTCCTTGTCCCTGCAGCTGTGCTAATTAGCACAGTCATTCATTGGACATTCCTTCTTTACAGCAGGCAGGTCAGCATTCCTTCCCGGCTCGCTGTCCCTCGCAAGGCTGCATCTGGGATCAGTAGCAAGACTGGAGACAAAATGGAGACCGCCTCACGACACATATATCTCCGGTGTCTCCCAAGCCGGAGCTGGTCACATGATGGCATGATTCACAGGCTAGCAGCCATGAGATACAGGCTGGTTTGCAGGTTTCCAGACACATTCCTCAGGTGTGTACAGGCCACCCTGAGAGAGTCCTTGTCCCTGCAGCTGTGCTAATTAGCACAGTCATTCATTGGACATTCCTTCTTTACAGCAGGCAAAACAGGCCCACGGCTCTGTCTCATGCAGAGAACATTCACATACCAGCACAGAGCCCACATTCATAACTCCACATACAAACATCACACAAGTACATGGGTAGCATATATAGAATCGGTAGAACATAAGCTTTCATTTGACACCTCACATGACCCCCTTTGTACAGACTTTGGGGCAACCCCCCCGTAGGTTCACCTGTGATCTGTCTGCTCATCATAAAATCAAATAATGTGACACCCTTACACAGAACGACTTCCATACACTGAGCTAAACAAGGCAGAGCCACATGGTGCCAAGCAGAAGCAGTTCCCTATCCACAAGTAAGGCACAAGCGGGCCCTCTGAGCACATGTTTTGTAAGCCCATTCCTAAGACAGTAAGTCTTTTGATGCTGCCAAGGGCCAGTATTATGCTCAGGACACGGGGAGCAGAATTTCAATCATGAGTTTAAAAATCAGCAATTTGACTTTGGCCAAGCTCTGAGCGAGTCTGGAAGCAGGAGCTGGTAGTGTGTGTTGTGAAGGAGAGAAAGCTCTGGCATCGGTACAGGTCTGCTGCTGAAGCATGTGAAGTCTCAACAGTCAGCTTGTAATCGGATGCAAATGTTGCCCCGGACCAGAGAGAATTAACCCCCGTGGAACTTTACAAAGATGCACTGTCCCATCACCACTGTTAATCAGCCTCACATCACTGGAGCGAAGCCAATCCTTCACTGAACCTGGAAGCCCCGTTTTAGTGACAGTCATACCAGGCTCTGCACTAGCTGCTGAACACTTGGAATCTGTCATCGTCTGGATTGTGACATCACTACAGCAATCCCACACGTGTAGCCTCCCAGCTGCACCGCTGCAAGCCTCTTTTGTTTGGAGCTAACCATGACAACGCTGCAGACGGCAGACATGGCCTTTCCTGGAGACAGCTAGAGGTGTCCGAGCTGCAAGGCTGACTGTTTGCTAGCCAGTGAGTGACAACACTAATATCAGCATTCAAAGTCCAGATTAAGTCTGCCCGACACAGCTGGTAGCAAGACAACCTGTAGAAATGCTGCCCATGGGAAGTGACAGAGCCCTTCAGCTACCAGTCAGAGGTGGGCACTGTCTACCCAGCACAGAGGTGCACAGTGTATTAGGGGCTTAGCCTGTGTTCACTCCTTACTCAAGTGCAAGTTATAGCCCAGCTTCTTGCAGTTTCTTACATCTTCCTTCCTCAGTTCAGTACATAACGGATCATTTACAGAAAGCTCTTTCTTGCACTGAAACAACTCAACCATCTAGTTACACAGGGCCTGCTCCAGAGGCCTGTGAAGTCAATAACAAAATACAGGACTAAGCAGCACTTCAAAGACTAACAAGATGGTTTATTAGGTGATGAGCTTTCGTGGGCCAGACCCACTTCCTCAGATCAAACTGTGGAAGAAAATTACATGAAGGATGTTACGTATTGGGTAACTGACTAATCGAATAGTCGATGAATAATATTCAATTAGTCGATAGGGCCCCTCCATCTTTGAAGTGCAACAACAGCCCTACGCGAAAGAGTACGGGCTCCACAAGGCGCTGCCGCTTTGAAACTTTGAAATGCTGCGTGCAGCCCGACGCTGGACTCCTCACGGCATTTCAAAGCGGCAGCGCCACACAGAACCTGGGGTCAGCGGGAGAGTCCCCAGCTGATCCTGGGCTCCATGCATCACTGACACTTTGAAATGCCACATGCAACCTGTGGGACACCCCAACTGGTCCCGGGCTGCACGCGGCTTTTCAAAGCGACAGGCTTCAGTGGAGCCCAGAGTCTGGCCCCAGGCTTTATGCGGCATTGCCACTTTGAAGCACACACACCCCTCCCTTCCCTTGCTGCCTCTTTCTTACAGAGGGCTGTGCTCAGCAGAGTGCCTGGAGCTGGGCTCTCCTCGATTTTCCTTTGTCGTTTCTTGCTCAGGGTTGTGCAGCAGGGCAAGTATCCTTCATTTGTGGCAAGGCTAGAAACTGAGTGGAAGTTTTAAGGCAATTGGACACCTGCAATTTGGCTGTCAAGAGTAGAAAGACAATACCTGCACAGGCAGACTGACACGCACACACAGGCACACGCAAAGCTGTGCACCATGGAAGCCAACAGGAGGTTTATGACCGACTTCAAGGGGAGCAGGAGCAAGACCACAGTGGGTGAGTAGCATCAGCTTTACTAGTAGAACGACAAACACACATTAAGGATCTAAAATTCCGGTTAATCAGGTAACCAGTTAAATGTTATACAGTAATTCCTCATTTAACACGTGCCCGCTTCACACGGTAGCACGATTTTTTTTTTTAGGGAATGTTTTTTGAATTACACGACCGTCCCCGGAATAACACGATTTCCCCAGCCGGCCCGTCGCCGGCAGCTGCGCGGGGCTTCCCCCACCTCCCTGCAAAGCGGCAGAGGGTTCGCCGCTCGCCGTGCAGTTCCCTGGTGGACCCCCCCTCTCACCAGACACAGTGCGGGTCCCAGTAAAGCCATCACAGGGGCATACTCCCAACCCAATCCCCCTCTCCTCTGCTCCCTTTCCCTTCCCCAGAGCCAGACACCTCCCCTCCCTGCTGTAACCCAGTCCTCTTTCTCCCCCAACCTTATGTCTCAACAGACACCACCGCTTGAAACGTAGCCCCCACCTTTTCCATTATTTTCAATGGGAAAATTGACCCTACATAGCATGTTTTCACTTAACACAATCATTTCGTGAAACATATCGATAGTGTTAAATGAGGAATTACTGTATTTAAGCATTTAACTGCTTATATGGAGGTGGGTAGGGGCTGCTCCGGCCAGGTTGGAGTGTCCCTGTATGCAGAGTGCTGGGCCTAGTCTGCGGTAGGCAGGGGCTATTTTCACTAGGCTGGAGTGCCCCCCACTTGTGGTGGGGAGGGGTCTGCTTGGTAAGCACCATCCGGTAAGGGTGATGCTACCAGTTAACCATTCACATCCCTATTAAATGTATTATTATTACAAGAGACTAAAACAAGCCAGCCTGTACCCCAGCAACTGCATTAAGAACGGCGATCATTTTTATTTTCTGTCTGCTAGACAGTAACCGGTTTCAGACACTCTAGTGACATAAAGCCTAGAGGAAACGTCACGCACCGGCCCCCGGACTTTGGAGCAGCCGAGAGCTTCATTGCTGCTGAGGATATATTCTCTAGCAGGACTCGGAGATGAACGCTGCTCCCTTCAGCCAGTTCACAGAAAACGTCACGCCTCCTCCTGACTTCAAATAAAATATTGCATTGTCAGCTGCTGGAGATTTAAAAAATGAGCAGAACATAAAACAAGTGCCACAACAGAGGTGCTTTTAGAAAAATTTAACACATAAACACCACCATCACACAGGCGCGGGGATATTTCTTGTGTTTCACTGGAAAAGGCTGGAAATTCCTGCCAGGCAAGAGGGAATGTGTACACACACAGGACTGGGCTGAAGAAATGCAAGGGTCTGCGAGCAGGGAAGGAAGGTCTGCGGGGGGACTTGTATTTTATTCAAGAACATCAACAGGACTAATAAAGAAAACTAGCTTGTTTCCAGACCTTCAATCTCCATTCCCCATCAGGATCAGCTCCACTACGCTGGCATTTTTCTAGTCAACGTGGCTAAATTAAAAGCGCAAGAGGCCAGTCTTGACCCTGAGCACTTACTTGCATAGGGTACGTCTACACTACAGCGTTAATTCGAACTAACTTAGTTTGAATTAGTTAATTTGAACTAAGCTAATTCGAATTAGCGCATCCAGACTTAAAAACTAGTTCGAATTAGCATTTTGCTAATTCGAACTAGCATGTCCACACTGAGTGGACTCTGAACTGGGGTTAAGGCTGGCCGGAAGCAGTGCCGGCAGGGCATCAGATGAGGACTTAGAGCATGGAGCTGCTGT